CCAGCCTACTGTGCCCCACGATGCCCAGCCCCAGTACACCCTTAAAGGTACTTACTTGTGCCCAGCTTGTCGCTGAGCTTCTCAGCCAGCTGCCTGCCCTGGGCCAGCTGCTCCCGAAAGCCCTGGCCCAGGTAGTAGTCGATGTCAGTGCCACGGAGGAGCTCCTCGAAAGACCGCAGGGCACCACGCAGATGCTGGGCCAGGCTGCGGCTCACCCCACGGCCCTCCCAAGCCGCAGGTGGGAGAGCTCCCGAGCCTGCGCTTGGATCAGCGAGTCGTACTTCCTAGGGAAGATTGGCAAGTGGGGGGTCCACAGAGCTGCCAGACTCCCCAGAGAGCACGTCAGGAATGGGGCACCCTGGGGGAGTCTGTACACTATCCACTCCTGGGACTGCCCCACCATGCAAGTGTCCCAGGAGCCTGGCTGCAGGGAAAGCACGCGACAAGAAGCCACCACTTTGGGCAACCCCTGGAGACGCCCATAGTCCCCCATCTGGCCCCAATCCCCATGGTCATACCCTGGCCAGGTAGCAGATTGCAGCTCCTTGGGCAAAACACCTCCGGTCTTGGCTGTGGGCAGCTGCGCTTCAAGGAGTGCAACGCGGTGCACCAGGTGCTGCAGGTCACGGTGCGCCCGCAGGGCGGGCGGGCAGAGGGTGCCATGGCTGTCTGACTGCCAGCCCTCGTCCTCATCAGTGAGGCTGTGGGCTGGCGAGGCCAGGGTTGTGGGACCCGGCAGGGGCCGCTCGGCGCCCGAGACATAGCCACTGGTGACGGAGACAGAGCGGGCACGGCGTTGCAGGCTCTGGATCACCTTGTTGGCATTGAGCAGCTGTGCCTTGAGGTCCTGGATGTGCTGGTACAGGGCTCCCACGTCCACCGGGGTTATGGCTTTCTGGACAGCCTTGCCCACCCCGGGCATCCCTGGCTGGCGTGGGGACCCTAGCTCCTCGCCCAGGCTGGGCTCGCTGAATACATCTGGCTCCTCACACTCTGCAGGGGAGACAGGACATGATGACACTTCTCCACGCCAGGTGGGCAAGGCACAAGGATCTCTGGAGACTTGGCTCTCCTTACCAGGGCTGGTGGTCTCATCCCGGTCAGCCTCAGTCTCACTTCGCCCACACGTCTCATAGCCCAGGTCCTGGAAATCCACCTGCACTTGCTTGCTGAGCTGCTGGGCGTGGGGTTCACCTGCCAGGCAGCCCCATCAGCTCAGGGTCCCCCTCCAGGCAGGATTCTCCATCCCTGCCCCATGTACAGTGCCATGCACAGGGCATGCCAGGCTCAGCACAGACCCCCATCCTACCCAGGGGTTTAACTTACGGAGCAGGACATGGTACTTCTCCAGCTGCTCAGCTTGTGCCCGCACTGTGGCCTCTGAGGCAGCAAGCTTGTCCTGCAGCTCCTGGCACTGCCTTTGGCCCTGCGCTACCTGGGAGCGCAGCTCCGTGCCCAGCCGCAGCCAGCCCCTACCTGGGGCTGTGCCCTCCACCTACCGGAAGAGAGACAGGCTATGAGCTCCCCACCTCTGTCCCCATCCCCAACCCAGTCCCCTGTGCCCAGGGCACTTACGTGGCTCTCATTCCCTCCACCTGGGACATCAGGGCAGGGTCTCTTGGGCACGTCATCCTGGGATCGCGCCTCCAGCGCTGGGCGTTTGGCAGGCACGGTTCCCCTCTCTGCTGGAATCCCCTGGCCATCTCTGCTGCCACCAGCTGGGTGGTCCCCAAGGGCAGTGCGGCTCTTCCTCTGCAGCCTGCGGGGCTCAGGGGCCGGGGGACTTCCCAGCCCAGCCTCCTCCGGCTCCCCAGTCTCCAGCAGTGACGTGGCTTCACCCATTCGCTCCTTCAGCTCCGCGTTCTCTAGGCACAGGCTCAGCATCGCCTTCCTGGGGGCACAAGGCACTGTGAAGGGCAGGCAGCGGCTGGGGTGCAGGGGAACCGCCCAAACTGC